TCTAAGAACGGCAAAATCTAGGTAGTATCGAGAAAATTTGAATGAAATCACATTTATTAAGTCGGCGTCCTGGATTAAAATTTAGGACCCAATCAGGCTAAGCAAACCATAATATTTTTGAAATATTATTAGCACTGGTAACTTTTACGTGGATGAGAACTTCTCCAGAGGATCCATCTTAGAAGCTTTTGAAGATTATTTATACATACAGATCCCTTTCACTGGTAGCTATCAAGGCATGAAACATGCTCATCAATGGAAATCTTCAAAGGGGAAGTGAAGTCTTCTGGGATAGCATCAGATGTGCTGCTGTTATGCTAATATCCTTTTCTGACAAAAGATACATGTTGTTGGGATATGTCTCTGGGAAAGCTAGCACTTTGCTCATTCAAATTCCACATTAAAAGTTGACTTCTTCCACGGTGACTGTTAAGTGCCTCACCAACAAAACCAGAAAGGTTACTCTCTCCTTTGGACTTCCCAAACCCACAAGTCTGGTCTTACCTGTGTTAAAGTATTTAGGCTGTAATTTGTTTTAAGGTACATTGACCAGAGGCTGCAGTATAACGTAGAATATTTGTGCTAGTTTTACCTGCCTGCCCAGGTATCTGGAAGTCGGAAAAACTCCTCAGCTGGAGAAATTACCAAAGCTCAAAGAGCTCATTTGCTGTGAATAGACTGTTTCTAGTAGGTAGATGAGCCCACTTAAAACTAGCTTGGCAATCTTTTGCTTATACTGCAATGTGAGCCTAACCTTAATCTTTTTGTACCATGTCAAATGCATTGTTAGCAGTGTACAAATAATATTTAATAAAATAAGTAAGAAAAAGTTGTTACCCAAGTGAATTAAACGTGGTAAACTCTTTCCACCTTATTGGACATTAGTTGTAAATGCTATACAGACTCATAGCTAGGTAAAAATAGTAATTGTTTTTTTACAGAGAGCATGGGATAGTTGGAGCTGCAGAAAGTTAATGCAGTTAACATAATGTAAGTACTAAGATGGCAGAGCTGTGACCCCAGTATTGTCAGCTGGCATTCCTTTTGAGACGTGAGAAGAGACTTGTACTGCATGTGAGTGTTTTTTTTTTTTTTTCCTTTGACAGTATTTGTTCCCAAACGTGGAAACATTCATCCATAGGACCTTCACATCCGTCTACATAGGACCTTCAAAAGAAATCTGAAAAAGCATCTTCCCTTGGAGACAAAAAAAATTAGTACTTGCAGGCAACTCTCTAAAGCCAAATACACTGTTGATAAGATGTAAACAAAAAAAGCAAAATTTAGGCATATATGATTTGACTCTGAGTGTCAGATGCTTCTAGTTTCTTTTTACTTCCTCATTCAGCACTTGCCAAAGTTTAATACTGCTTGATCCTGCACCAGTGTAAAACTGGAAATCATTGATCCTGCTTCTCTTGATGTTAAGAACCATAGAACAAAGCACCATAGAACAAAGCAGCCTGTGGCCTTACTTGCTACTCTTAAAAGCTGAAATCAGTTTCTAATATGATTTTATAAAGCATAAAGGCTTTTACCTGACTTCAAGTCTATGAATTATTGGAGAAAATATAACTGCATGTGTAAGTGATAGATACCAGGTGCAAATATTAAACTTTTTCTATTTTATTTGGGACCATTATATTAATTTGTTTGTTTGTTTGTTTGTTTTTACTGGCATGAACTATTGAAATTTCTTAATTTGTCACTCTTGGCAAAAAATAAGTTTATAGAAATCTGAGCTTTTTAAAAATAAAATTAGAATTCCTTAGGAGAAATATTTGAAAGGTTGATTTCCTAAGGTGAAGATTATTATTGTAGAAGTACTGAAAATACACTGAACTCTGATTCCATTATGATATATACTATGCAAGTGTAAACAATGAGTTTACTGCTTCATGTTCTTAAATTGATCCCTGTTCTGTTTATAAGGAGGAGTTGTTAATTCATTGCATTTCTGCAAAATTAATACGTAGATATGCATAATCCACCAGTAAAGAGCTTTCAAGAACAATTTTGAAAACACAGTAAACTATTTAACTTTATAATTATTCTATTGTGATTGTTTTCTTTATTTGTGGGACAGAGAACATGGTAAGGAAGTTCAACTGGTTCACTTTCTTGAATAAACCTCTCAGTAATTGAGTTGATTACTTGATTACTCCTAGGTAATCTTCTTCTTCTAGCAATGAGTATGTTTTTAATGTCCGTTGTACCACTAAGTTAACATATTCTCCTTTATTGAAAGGAGAGGTGAGCAGCATCTTATAACCTTCATTACATATCTTTATTTATTTATTTAGGTAAAATTATGATTTTATAACATCTGCGGATTTCTACAGCTAACCATGTTTTTGCATGGAAATATAACTTTGTTTCTAGGCTTCATAGTCAATCTGCAAAGCTGTAGAAATCTAGAAAGTAATCCATTAAGTCATTTGCTACCCCCTCACGTTCCATTTAGCATTTCCCCTGCTGTCCTCAGCTACCCTTCTTCTCCTGCTGGCAAACTACCTAGTTTTTGTTAAACACTTCTGTTTTCAGGCTTCGCTTAAGTCATCACATTGACTTACGTGCAGCCTGGGACAGAAAAGCTTAGGGAAAATATGTACAGTAGGAAAGTATGTAGAAATGAAAACGTGTAAATATGGTATCACTTACTGCAAGATCTGTACAGTACTTAAATTTTTTGGTCATTTTCCCTATGTAACTCCTGCACAGTAGCACATCTTGGCTACTTTAGTGTTTTGTGCAAGTTATGTTGGATGTGAGCATTCTATACAGCTGTTAAATCCTTTCTGAAATAATCTGTGTGTGTTTTTGTTATTGGCTGTTATTCGTTGGATATTTTATGTCTCAGCTTGACTCTGACATGTCTTAAGATCTAGTGAATGAAAATGAGGTTAACTTTAGAGTTAAAATTGTAAATTGTGGTTCTTAAGTTGCTATTTGTAATTGCTTCGTATGTATACACTTTCAAGTGAAGTTTCTTGAGCTGCAATAGCAAAGACTTTGGTGTTCGTTTGAAGACATGGGAGTAAATTAATCAATATAAAGCAAAACAGTATCTCTAGTATGAAAAAAACCTCTGTAAATTGTAAATGTTTTTAATTAAATCTAAAGAGGGCTCTGTGTGATCTTGAATAGAAAAAATCTACGTAAATTATTTGTTAGCAGGGGTGTGCCAGAAACCTAGGGGACAAGGCAAATCAGACAGTTGAAGTTAATTAGCGTCATATCCGCATCACAAATGCAGAGAGACTTAAAAGCCACCAGCACTACTGTGTGATGATTCTTTTCCTTGGGAAATAATTTTCTGAATTTAGCTCTAAAATCTCATTTGACTGGAATATGGGGATAAACTTTTTTGTATGTGTTTTCTGTAAAAGCTTGCAGCAGAATGCGCAGCAGTGTATTTAGTTAAAAGTAGATTAGTTAACATTTTATCTGGGAATGCATAAAGATATAGCATCAATCACATGAGGTGATAACAGGTAAAAAAATATATTCCTTATTTTGCTTACATCAGTTTACTCAGACTGTTTTTCTGCCTGCTCAGGACTAAAATTATGGGCCGTTTTTTAAAATGTGCTGAGCTAATGGTAAAATGTAGTGACCTTCCAAGAATGAAGAAGAGTATTAATTCTCAGAATTATATGGGCTCAGGTCTAATTAGATTTTCAGCTTTCCTGGAACTCTTATGTATGGAAAGAAAGCAATTCTGTATTTTTTGTTTTTTGTTTTAATTTTTCTCAGAAAAAGTTTGAGAAATGGGTATATCCACAGTATTGTTGAAAGGAAATTATATAAAGCAAGTGTATTAAGTATAATATTTTCAGCATATCGGAATTGTATACTTGTACACCTATAAAACAACTATAAATCATTTAGCTTTCAACACTGACAAATACATCTAATCTTAGAGATGGAAGTATGTTACGCTGTATTTTCTTTGCCTAATGGCTTATCTCTGAAACAGATAGTAACATTGGATATAGAGAATTTGGCAAAAAATCAGCACAATTGATGCTTTGCTTAAAAAGAAATGTTACAAATGTAAAGCTCATTTCTAAAGAAGGTACTTACATAGAAATTGCTATTCATTTTTAAGTTCATTATTAAATACTTAGCAAAGCAAAATAATAAGAACCTTATTAGGCAGTTCATCTGTTAACCAGAGATGGCTGAATAGCAACTCCTGACTGCTGTCTATTTTGAAATAAAGTAACTTTCGTATGTGAAGGCTGCAGGGATACATATTTTAAATATTTTTTTAAAAATCTGAAATATACACTGTTTATTGTTCTACTCAATAGCATGATATCTGACAGCACATCTGCTCTGTTCTGTGTTGCTGTGGGTGGGGTGTCAGATTCTTGACACTGGCTCCACTTTTCATATATTGCATGTTCCCTATCAGACCTCTATTCATTTTCCTTCCACTTTTTTAACAGGGAAAATATTTAGCTCACATGGATGTGAGTAAAGGTTGGCATGCACAGAGTAGTTGCCACTGATTTGAGATGACCACTGGGCAGAGCTCACCAGTAAAATTTTGGTGGCAAGTTTTTGACTCTAGAACACTTTCAAGTTTCTGATCCCTCACCAACAAGTGTGTGGAGGATATCTGAATAAAGGAAAAAACGGCTGATAGAAAACTGAATGACAGCTCTTCAGAGAAACATTCTGAAAGGGAGGGATGAGTTGGGTTGAAATGTATTTGTCATTAATAATCAAAATCAACTTATAACATGCAAACTTTAACCAAATCTACTAAACATTGCATTTCAAATTATGACTGCTAGATCATAATCATTTTCTTGGTATTTTAGTCCTTCATTTTTATCCTATAGACATTATTTACACTTACGTTGTTACAGATCTTTCAAAACAGTAACATAATCAGCAACTTAAATTTTTATATACTTACATACATACATGCATACATATACATTTATATATTTAAATTTAACTGTTGTTTTTGTTTGGTTTTGTTATAGGGCAGACTATTCCAGAAAGAAGATTTGTAGAGGCAGTAAATCCGCAAGTGTATCAGTATGAGATGGGTGACTTTCCAACAGAATGGGAAGGTAAATCTTGAAGATTTTGTTTTTATTTCAAGATAACTTTGCTATTAAAAACACTGAATCTGAATTCAGTGCAATAACTGACTATATGTAAAGGTTGTCTGTTATCTTTCATCTTCAGTATTGGAGACTTTAACAGCCTAGTTATTATGAAATCTTAAAGTAACCTTTTACAAATAGGATAAATTATGTTTAGGAAATCAGTACTTAATAAAAATATAAATAAAGCCTCCATCGCCATGACTTTCTCCTATTAAATGTGAAAATATTTGTGCCTGAGGGGGATCTGACAGAATAACCAAAATTTTTCTGCTACTGTTGTTGAAAATTTTGCCTGGAAAATTAAGGCATTGTAAGAAATTCAAGGAAGCTAATAAAATTCTTCCAGTGCTCAGCTACTTCACTTGTGGATAATCCTTAATGACCACCTGATTTAAAACCAGTCATCCAAGCTCTCTTCCCCTCTTCCCATTTCCTCTACATCACCCTGATGGGGCAGGGGGAAAGGCTAGAAAAAAGCTGCTTCTTACCTAAATGAATAAAAGTACTGTCCCTGGAAATATTTAAGGACATGAGTTATCTGAGAAGAACTTGCACAAAATCGGGGGCAAGGGATTGTTTGGGAAGTGCGAGCAGGCAGTAAGGAGATTTGAAATGGGTCTGAGATAAACCTTCCATTGTGTACCTAGCACATGCAGCCTGTACAGCTGGTTAACCAAGGGGCTGATTTTTTAGCCAGTGTTTATCTCGTTACAAGCATGAAATAGGCTAACTGAGACTAATTGGAAACTGTAAAACAAATAGATAAACCAATCAGCCAGATTAGAGACCCGATCTGTGCAAACTGCTTTCCCAGATTCTGGAGAGGATGTTCATGTATCGGTCCTGAGAGCCTACTGAATATAGGGCTGAGGGCTCAGTCCTGCAGAGTTTTACTGCATTTTTTTCTCCTGAAGATTTTAGCTTAAAATCTCCACAGGATTAAATCTCCTAGGTAATCAGACTTGTGAATTTTTACAACAGTTCTGAATGTCAATCAAGGCTTTTGTAAAACAGAAACGTGCTCAATAGTATAAAAACAGAATCATAATCCCTTGTGTTCTCCTTAGTCCAGCGTTAGTTATTTGTTCATAAAGTCTGTTTTCTTGTTTTAAAAATAAAAATGTTTCCTTTTATGCTGTACTTTTGAATTTAGAAAGTGATCCATATTCACAATATCAATATTAAATATTTTTGTTTAGATAAAGCCTCTTATATTCTACTACATGGTGAAATTGGATACTTTTTCTACCCCCTGCCCTCAGCAATATGGGTGCAAACAGCAGATAACCTTTCTGTAAGGCTAGTTCTGTGTGTTCACTTACTGTATTGCCTGGTAGAAGGTGCACTTTGTGCACTTTATCTCCTCAGGACATGTCAGTAGTGCTCCTAAAAGAAGATCAGTAATTATACATGCCTGGAGAGATTCATGAGATGGCATGCTTCATGCAGCACCTTATTGCCCATCTACTCCTAGTCTTTTTCTCTTCTCTCTTCCCGTCTCTTCCCGTAGCATTTAGTGATTAATGAAAACCTTAATTTGCATGCTCACTTTTACACTTATTACTGTGCATTATGTGCCGGTAGGAGTCTTAAAGTTCAATGAAAATCTCATGCATACTAATGCAAATGAGAGCTGATGAAAGAATGCTGGGGTCTCTAGGATGAAACATCCAGTTAGCAAGCAAAATTCCTTTTAGACAAAAATCGCATTATAATGAGTACAGAATGCAGGCAGTACCACCCAGATAAAATTAGAAGCCGCAGCATAATTAGACTGCTTGAAATGGAGGCAGTCTACTCATTTTTCTCAGGATTTTTTGGGAGAGCCAGGGAAGCATGTTTCAGTTGCAGTCAGTCCATATATGTTACCTCCCCTACTTCACCAGGTTCAAAGCATCTTGGCTGATAATGTGTGAGAGCACTTTGCTTTGTTAGTGTAGTGGAAGGGAGTGTTTGCATGGAAATCTTTTCTAGCTCCAGCTGTCACTGGACACTTTTTGATTGAGTGTACGTGTGTGTGTATATGGTGTTCAAATAACATGTAATGAAGCACCTACTTACCTAGTTTCCATCAGTAAATATTTAATTGTGATATAAATCTTTTTAGTAGTTTAAAACTGTGTTGACTAAAGGTGTAAAGGAGAGTGCAAAGAAAGACGGGAAAGATAAGACCTTTCCAAAACTGTATACATTACTATATATTTTAAAAGAGAATATAAGATATATCTTAAAATTTGAAGTGAAAAGAATTTTACATCCCATTTAGTTAATTGGATTGTTAGAATCAGTGCTAAATCAATGAGAAATCACTCATTATACTTTTTTCATATAGTCGTTCTTCCTTTAATTATTTCTGTAAGTTTCTCTTAGGCACAAGTTTTAAGGGGTTAGTTTCCAGTGTTTTGAACAATGTGTGGGATGCTCAAAATACTCTTGACACCACAGAAAATTTTAAAGTTTTGTATAGTTTTGTATCTGAAATAGAACCACCTGAAAACTGATGGGGATTAAATATATTAGAATCTCTTGATCCTTCACCCCAAAGATTGAGGAGTGATTAGGTGAGTGATTAAAATTCTTTTTTGCTTTTGTAAGATTGATAAAACTCTCTGAATCTAAAGTGCAATAACCTCAGTTCAGAGAATTTTGTTTATGCTTTCAATCTTGAAAAATATTTTGAGGTGTACTTTATGCAGGATATTTCAAAAATGGATTTGCACAGAGGGGTATTATATATTAAAGCTAACTACCTTCATCTTTTGGTTATAAAGAGATTTTTAGTAAATTTTGATACCATATTTCTCCCTCAGCTACCCAGCAGTGAAGGAATCTTTCATTATTTTGTGATTTCCTAATGCAGCTCATTACAGATGCTCAAATGAATTCACCTATAGCAATTTGGAAAAAGGTACCCAATCTTTGTGTCCACAAGCTATTTTTAGGGTTAAACTGAAAAGATTTGTAGCCCTGACGTTTATTAAAAGGGAAGGCAGGCATCACATACGAAACCATACATTCAAATGTTTGTCACAACAGGAAAGAAAAATAGCCATGATGACTTACTATCTATGTATTTAAATAGGTACAGTGTGATAATGGAATGTTTGATAAAAGAAATCTTCCTAAATCGAGGATTGTTTTGTTGCTTATGAATGTTGGTATTAATTGAGGTCTACTAAGGAATGAAAATATGTTTGATAATTCTCCTCGCTTCACATGTTCTGTTCTCAAAACTTGTTTCACTGTAATACCCGTCACTGTTCTGTTTATGGCTTGTTGAACTGAGGCAGATAATTAAATGATAAAATCTTTGATTAAAAGTATTCCATTCATCTGAAAATCATTAATCAAATAACTGACTGAAAGTCCCCTCTGACAATGAAAAACATGTACTGTAATGTTTATATTTCCACAGTAGTTTCTAACTGCAACTTAATTTTGTAGGATTTCAAATTTTAATTTATTCAAGAATCATTAATTACGATAAGATGAAGTTAAAATGCAGCTGTGAAAATATTGGCATTTAAAGAAAATGCTAGAAATTTCAACAAAATGAAGCAGTTCTTAGGTGCTGAGAGCCGTGGAGCTGAAACACTGGTATTGTAACAAATACCTCCATATAGTAGAGAAATGCGAACGGGGAAGGAAGGAGGAAGATGATTCTTTGAAAATAATGCCTTAGATTTTGCGAGTTTAAAACTTTCATTTTTCACAAAGCACATTAATCTTTCTTCTTCCATCTTTCTCCAGCTGTATCTTTTATTGGTTAGTGTCCAGTATACATATTTTATTATACTTAAGATATTTCTACCTCTTTCCTACTATTCTATATGCTATTAGAACTGTTGCTAAGTATAGAGAAAGATAATTTCTGACAGGAGGCATGCTTGTGGGCAAGCTTGTGGGCTATGATCTTCTCTAATAACAATCATGAGAATTCTTTCGTTAATCTCGTTGTGCAATGAGTGTTTGCAGGGCTATCAGCTGAGAAGGGTAAGTCTCAATCATGCCAGTTTAGGTTCCGGTCTTGCCAGATTCTGCATGTGGAAAGTGCTATAAAGTTAAAATATATGAAAGGAATAGAGGTGTATTGAAAATATTTTGCAGCTCTAAAAATAAATATGACTTTCCATTTCATTATGTAATTATCCTACTAGGCTGTTTTGCTTTTCAGTAATATCAGACTATCTGCAATAGTTTAATGTTGACTATTCCATACTCAGGCACTTCTCTACAGTGGCAAATTTGTTTCTGATAGTGGTTAGATCCAAAAGACCTCAGAAAAGGAGGCAGGGAATGATATTTGTAAGCATATACATGTCGGTTTTAAGATGAATTTTATTTAAAAGAAAACATCTTCAAAAAGTATCACCTGATGCACAAGAAATAAAATCAAGACCTTGTTTCGTATCGTTACAGACATTTCACCATTAACCTTTAGTCAATTAACCATGCAGTCATGGCTAAACTCCAAGCTATGTGATGCCATTTTGCCTACCTTAATCCCCTTCTTAGGTTAATTGGAAGCTATTCCTCCTAAAACCAGTTTCATAATGTTGCTGAAGCAGAGTGATGCTAGTGTTTTACCCTATGTGTAATCACGTTTTCAGTAGAGAAGTGAAATTATGACTCCGTGAACTTCTGTGTATGTTCTGGACTTCCTCTCTCTCCTCCTTCTCCAGTTGCCCTCAAAATACAGCATAAATGGTACTAGAAAATTAAAATCTGGAATGATTCCCTTTTAAAGCATTTTTGAAACTTTACAGACAACTACAAACCAGACCAGGATTTTGACTGGGTGATAATGAAAATGTCATTTTTGCTCTAATTTTCCAGCACAGTAACAAATGTCTTAATTATCCAAACATAGAAAAGAACATTTTGCCATATCTGTGTGCTTGGGAACTGGCTTTCCTTATGTTTGTCCTTCTGTTCATTACTGGCCACTTGCATTCTGCTACTCATTCATTTGAAAAATAAGAGCAGAAGAGACGCAAATGTCTGCAAAATATACAAACAGGCACCTACCAATTCTATGCATTGAAAAGTCAAGAAAAAATATGACAGTAGTGGTTCTTTTAAAGAACAGTGAATATTGACCTGTTCACAATCGAGGAATTTGTTTATCTAGTAACATTTGCAATAGAGTTGGAGCTATCTGTAATAATTCATTGACTGAATGAGACAAGATTTGACACAGTGGCATTTCTCTGTCTGTGATGGGATTCCTTTGGATTGCTGCAGCCAGTCAATTCCAAAATAACAGGCAATGCTTGAGGTTGGGGTGGGCATCAGTCTATTGATTTTTGGCTCATAGTGGAAATCCTGAGTCACAGGACAGTCAGGGTTGCCACTGCTTTAGGCAGAGTGGTTCTTCTGCTGTGCTTTCCCACATGAATTTACTCTGATGGAGGAGCCTCCCTTTCTTCCCTCAGTTAGGGCACCTCCCCCTTAATACAGTGGGTCACTTCAATCAGATTTTGGGCTGTATCTTGCACTCCTATAAAAGAAATCTATCCAGCACTAGCATAAATAAGACTAAGTTTTTAGGCTTTAACAACACCTTTGACAGGAATCCTTTCTCTCTAGAGTGGTCTAAAGCTTTTCATATCTTTCACTGCTGGTCCTGTCCTTTTCTCAGGGTGAAACTCAGCCTTGTACAGCAAGCTCAACAAAGAGCTTGGCATCACTTGAGCCCTACTTCAGCCTTATTTTGAACGTGGGTGGTGTGCAGGCTGTGTTCAAGCTCTCATAACAGAGGTGAATTCTTCCTTCTGTGAAGACTGAGAGTATTGATGAGGGAAAAAATATCTTGGAGCTTTATATCTGGGGAGTTGATATTATGGTTTGCCAGGCTGTAGCAAATGTATATAAATGTTTGCTTTCCATTACAAATTTACTATAATTTTGAGTTATAATGCTGTTTGTCATCTTTGAAATAATCCATCTGATTTTTATTTCTTTTGCAGCTTGGATAAGGAAAAAGAGAAATGATCCACCCACCATTGAGGTGAGAGATGAAGTGTCTTTACATTTTCAATTGTTGTAGTTAAACTACAGTAATGCATTTATAGTGAACTTACCTGTCCAATAATTTTTCACTTTTGGGAGGAAAATTTAGTATGTTGCTTGCCTAATTTGTGAAATTATATACAGACTAAATATCTTCTCTTAGAGTAAGATAAAATATGGAAACCTAAACTCTAGTGTTATTTAATTGTTTCTTTTATGGAAATCTATATGAAGTTAGATTCTGGAAGATGACCATGGTCATTCAAGAGTTTCTTTAATTAAATCAATTCTGAAATTACTGCTGTGAATTTTTAAAGCAGGTCTTCTCTGTATTGACACATTTTTTTCATGGTAGTTGACATTAAAATGCAATTTTCAAATCCAGTTGCCAGCATATTCATCAGTACAGCAAAACAAATTACATTAACATTTCACAATGCTAATGAGGTGGGGGAGTTGCAGCCATGACTTTTTCCGTAAGTGGTTTCTGATGGAATAAAGCAGTGTGAGTCTTTCATGCTGACAACTTTGTAAAGAATGGAATGAGTTTGACTGTTGATCTGCGTATGTGTACACACACATATACACACATACTCTCTTTACCCTGGATTTGTAATTATAAGTCGCTGAAAGTCAGCTAAGAATGATAGAGTAGATAAAGTACAGAAGATTCAAACTGACACCCACAAGGGCAGATATTTGACTTGCATCAGTACAAATAACTGCATTGAATTCAGTGAAGCTATGCTGGCATGCTCTAGCCAAGGATTTGGTTACTTAGATCTGAAATATACTGGTTGTGAAAAGCTGTCCTGCCTGCCTGTGTGTTAAGATGACCCATTCAGGAAGCCTGTCAGCTGATGTTTACAAGCCATAACTCATAGAAATGAGCTCCTACACAACTTACAGCTTTTCATCTATTTCTGTCTGCCTCTTTTTTGCACTTGCCACTGAGGTTATAGAGTATAAGGGCTGTAATATACTTAAGAACACAGGAAAATCAAGTTCAATTTATTCTGTAAGCTTGTCAGTACCTAAAAATTAACACATTTTTCTTCACATTAATCTTCGAAGAAGTATAAAGCACTTTTATTTTCCTCATCCTAGTTATTTGGGCAGAATTGATTCTTCAGTAGTTGTTCTGTCTCAGCTTGGACTGATCTCTTTTTAAGTAGCTCTGGCCCATCCTAATTGTATACATATAACTTTTATTGTTGAAACAATCTTGTAGTACATAGAGGTAAGGGATATTGCCTGCCTTTTGCCACGTTATTTCCATAAGCCAGACTGCCATGATAATTGTGCTAAGTAGAATCTTCCCCAGAGAACTTAGGCAGCCTGGTTTTTGGAACGGAAACAATAAAACTTCTTCCAGCACTGGAGGTGTCAGTTCTCTTTCAAAACAGGGAACGAGGGTTCTCCACAGATGAGAGAATTCTGGATCAATAGCGTTCTAAATATTTAACCTTCCAGAAAAAAGCGATTTATGGAGAATAAAAAATTATTGGGAGTAATGGTGCATTCAGAGTTATAGAACTCCTTATGCCTTCAGCTTCATGAGGTAAGAAGGAGATGCAAAAAATTATTTAGCAGCTAGATACTTTACCTTATTGAGCAGAAGTGATATACTAGGTATGTGAAAAGTAGTTATCTTTTCCTTCAAGTAATCGCTAAAGTTGTTCATTTTCCCATATAAGAAAAAATAGTTAAAAATCTATGTATGTAAAAATTTTGCATGTATGTAAAAATTCTAGTATTTTGACAATAACACAACAAATGTCGTAGATATGTAATGGTGTATTTATAATTATCTTATTCTGTATTAGTATGGGGTGAAATGCATGATATCCCTTTTCTTCCAGTTTGAAACCCGTGTGCCACAATAGACTGTGCTCTTATAGACATAATTATACTAGCGAAGTACTTGTAGAATGCTGTTTGGTCCCAATATGTTGTACTGATTGTCTTTGTGTTTTAGCTACATAAAATTTACTGACTGATATTCTGCATTATATTCCCTTTTTGACAGTAATGCCGATATGGTAAACTGCTGTTTGGCAGCTATGGAACCAGGGAATATTTGTGACCATATTTCATGTTGAAACCCCGTAAAACAAATCTCCTTGTTCTTTCACATATTCCTCATGAGACTGAACTATTTCTGAAAAAGGATGTAAAGCCCACAAATTTTGCATTTTGTGCCTTACTAGACATTTTACTGTCAACATCACGTTGTAACACCACAAAACACCATTACTGTTCCTAAAGCGCAAGTCTAAAGCATGAGTTTCCAGAGGTCTGCCTATATTCCTCTGTCTGTGGTCTGTAGTACCACTTTTTTGACTGTTGCTTTTTTTTTTTCCTTCTCTCCTGTCCCTTGCCTGTCATGTCTTTTCTTTTTAATATCAAATCTGACATATGTTAAACTTCATTAAAATTTCTGTTCCCCCGTTCTACTTTATTTGCCTACCATACCCCTTTAGTGTTTGTATTTGTATATGTTTGTATTTTATGTTTGTATTTTATATTTGTCAAACTTTCTTGTTATTCAGCTTCAGCTATTGGATAATAGCAGTTGCCAGACTGCTTGGACTCTCAGCTGAATGAACTCTGATCAAACTTTGAATTGAAAATCTTGCAAAGATATTATGGCTTCACAAATCAGCTGGACATATCTGATTGGTAGCCTCAATGACCACATTTTGGGAACCAGTGACTTAGTTGTAGGCCAACAGAATATCATTCAGAATCACCATGACATGTCAGTCACTTAAGTAAGAACAAGTATGATTTGTCCTTATGTACAGTGTTCACTGCGATCAGGTCATTACACCAGCTAAGTCTTTTGACAGTGATTTTTAGACTTGATAATATTTTGTAATCAGGCCTTTTTTTCTTCTACAGATAGCTAACTGATCTCTTATTTCATTATAAAAATTTAATTTTTGTGTAAAGGACGTTGGTTGACCTCTCTTTCTATTATCTTTAGATTCTAGTTTTTCTTGTGGTAGAATACTGCAGGGCTAACTTCACAAGAGAACTTGTTCAGCTCTAAGTGTTTCACATATTTATGTTTCCTTTCCTTTTCCCCCCCTCTTTTCCTCCGTTTTTGGAGGACGGGCACTTAGAGCAATACTTCTGTGCACTGGGCTAGTTATAAACCAAAAATATCGCTCATCACATGTGTTACTTCTAATCTGACCAGTAATGTAAGGAATGTTAGTGGTTGGAAGTCGTGGATTTTAAAAGCCAGCCTCTGGGATACTGAAACAGTTGGTTCCCTTTTGATTTTATTACAGCTTGAAATATGCCAAGTCTCGTTCTGAACTCAGTTATGATGAGGGTGATAACTTTGCAAATGAATGCAGATCAAGTTGTTTCTTATCTTGTGCTTAAACGTATTCAGTTCCTATGGTAATAAGAGAGCCCATTTTGGTAGAGAATTTTGGATTACATCCTCACCTGATGTAAGCGTACATGTGCACATACACCTATGTATACACATGCTGTTTTATAGCAGGTAAGAATCTGAGTTTATATGTGTATCTTTTAGCATTACTATATCATCTGTCATCTATTGTATCATCTGTTCCTTTACACATAATGTGTATGGTGATATATGTTGGGCCGAGGAAGATTTTTCGTTACATTTATTTGTATGTAGTTGTAAACTATATTTTAATCAATTTAACAAGTGATGAATAATTAAAAAGAACAGAATATTACATTATTATGTATATAGAAAATTAGATGTATGTAGCATTTTATGGGCAAATAGGAAGTAGATCTTTGTCTTGAGACCTTGCTGATTAAAGTAATGAAAATATTTTAGAGATTACAAATACTAAAACATTTTTAAATTGAATGCTATTCGGTGGAATTAGATTTGATAACTTAGCACTTTACATGCTAATTTACCATGCTAAGCATTCCTGTTGTCAGAAATTTTTAACAAAAGTTGTATTGGGAAATAGCGGTTGTTTTATATAAGTGATGTTCCATCCATGCAAAATAATTTTTAAAACACTTTTCCCTTTCGTTCTTCAAGCTGTGGTCTGACTTGGCTTTGAGGACGGCTTGAAAGTAAACATGCTGTCTCACATACCCTCCTATCCTCCTATTTTTCCTTCTGACTGTATATTTTACTCCTAATTTAAAACATGTAGAATTAGAATATGAAGATGCCAAGTTAACTGTTGGAATTTTTCCTGTTTCAGTTGCAAAAGAATGAAAAAATATTTGGAGGTAGGAGGGCTCCTTCTCCTGAGGACTCCTTTTTGGGGTCATGTTGCCCTTCCATTATTGAGCAGAAACTCCCCACATTTAAAAGATGTTAATCACTGTAACACCTGCAAAAGCAATGTGGCATGTCTTTCCTACTGTTTTTAGGCACCTTCATGAATTCCAAACTAAGTTCTGTTGACAAGAACTTCCCAAGACTGCTAAGTACTTTGGTGATCACTCAGCTTTGCATGATATCCACAAGCTTTGCTGTGTTCTGCATCTCCTATATTGATTCTAGGTTATATTCCTTTTCTAAAAATTTTGTTTTGTTTAAAGTGTGAGATAGCATTACATAAGTATATTAAAAATTAAGGAAATGTTTTTTTTCTATTGTTGAAGGTCTTACTTGAGATAGTGGCTGAATGCATAAGATCCTTGTAAGCTGTTTATTGGTGCCTATTTCAACAGAGGGTCTACCTTTCCATCTGTCTCTCATCTTTTTATGATCAATGTGTATGCAACATGTAGCCAGTTTTTACCCCACCTGGATAGTATGAGTTCTATCATCAAAATTGGCTTAGATAACTTATATCTAAGATGTACTGAGTCTTCAGCCTCTAAACCTGCAGTGTAAGAACTAGGTGGCATATTTCTAAAGATATAGCCAACCTTGAAAATATCAGGCATGTAATGAATTTTAAAAAACAGCTCTGTTACAAAACCTCCATTTGATTTCTTTAATATGACTGATTTCAGTGAGCATCAGATTTGTAG